TTTTTTTTTTTTTTTAAAGATGGTGCTTCTCCAAACACAAATCAGGTCTGGCATTTGGGGCAAAAATCCAAATATGTAAAACTCCATGTGTCTCCTATGGTTTTGGCTAGGAAGTGTAAAACTAGACAACAGGCAGTCTTGCTCTTTCCCCTCCTATTTATCACAGAGGGGAATGAACAGCTGCAGCAGCCACGGAAAGGGAATGTCAGGTGTTTCCAAAGTAACATTTGAAAAGAGAGTTTAAGGAATTACCTTCCCTCCCTGTGCATCTCCAAATGGATGCTGGCTGATATCTGACAATTATAGAACTTTTCCCTGTGACCAATTCCAGTCTGTCACTTCCTCTACTTTCCCCCTCCCTTCTAGTCTCTCCATCTTTTTAGAGAGGCTGTGTATCACCCGCTGACACTCCTGTGTTTGGACCATGCACCTCCAGGTTCACCGAGCATTTACAAGCTACTGGCTGTCTGGGTCATGTTTAATTATGGTGTCTCTCCACATCAGATCCCACCAAGTGATGCTGGTGACAGGGAAGGCAAACCCAGACCAAGGCTGACTGCATGATGTGCAAAGCTTCCGATGATCACCAGTGAAGAATGCAAACATTCCCATTTACTGATGATGTTCGTCTGGGACACAGCATTACCATAATCTGGAGTAGCCTGTGTTCCTGTAAGGGGATGCTGATGCACTCCTGATTGCACCCCAAATAGTAGGTCTGACACAAAACTCAGAAAGGTAGCATGTGGTAAAAGAAATTCCAACCATGGGTGGACCCTCACTCCCTAGAGGGAATTCAGAAGTCAGTGCCTCCACTTGTCACAATTCACAGAATTCTGAAGGCACTTACCCACATGGGGAAGTTAACTGGAGGACACTCGGGATACTCATGGCTTTGATTCTTAAGGGTATGATAATAGGCAAATAGAGGCTCCTCTAGAAACACGTGGTTTTTTAAAAAAATAAAATGGTAACTTACTGTTGAGGACAAGTTTATTTTATGATATGCATCTTTCAAATCATTTTAAATGTAAATTTAAATTCCATGTAGTTTATTAGTTGTAAAATATTAACTTACTGAAGAAACATTTATTGAGCATCTACTCTGTGCTGAGAACAAGCTATTCCTAGGGAGACCATGATTTAAAAAAAAAAAAAAAGTCTTCCTTTTTTGTAGCATAAAATTTTTTAAAAGTCACTTTTTCTTTTTTTTTTTTGGTTGTCAAATGATCCTTTATTGAAACATTTTCCTTTGTAGTTAACTAGCCGGGCATTCCAGCGCACCACTGTTGATGTCATGAGGGTGGCGGCCATCTACATTGCAGCCCACAGACTGGGCAGTCCCCAGGATCTCTTTAATGGTTCCGGAGAGTTCTCTGGCTAAAGATCGGTGTCGCATCTGTGGGGCAATATTGACAATCTCATCAAAAGTGATATTTCCACTGTGCTTAATGTTTTTCTGCTTCTTTCTGTCTCTTGGTGGTTCCTTGAGGGCTTTGATAATCAGGGCAGAGGCCGAAGGTACCACTTCAATCTGAGCCTGTCTGTTCTGAATGGTCAGTTTCACCGTAATCCTTAGACCCTTCCCATCACCGGTTGCCTTGGCAATGACATCACCAACCTTTTTTGGAGACAGACCCAGCGGGCCTATCTTCGGGGCCAGGGCAGACGTGGCACTGACTTCGCCACCGGTGCACCTCAGGTACACGACTTTGATCTCGTTGGGGTCGAACTTAGGTGGCATGGCGGAAGGGGCTGGTGTCAGATGAACCCGGATTCGGGACGACCGAAGAAAGTTTCACCTTTGCCTCCCCGAGCCGAAAGCCAAAAAGTCTTACTAAGATTCTTAGTTCAAGTTTACCATATTCTGATGGCACAGTGAAGTTTCTTTACTAATTGCTAACTTTTTCCTTTGTGTGTTAAGGGTAGGAGAGATGTAGAATTTCTTCTGATGCTGTGATCTCATTTTGTTTCTGAAAATTCCACATTGTTTTACAGCATTCTCACTCTACACTTTTACCACCACACTTGCAAATAATGCCTCCTCTTCACATGGGCTCTATTATCCCCCAGAGTGTTGCTTTCCCCATTACCTTTGACTCTACACGTGTTCCAGCCTTCCCCTTTTGTCCTCTAATAAATATTGCACTGATCCACAGGTATTCGATATGTTTCAGTTTTTTGTCACTCAGGGTCAGACTTTCTCCTTCAAGGATGATTCTTGTGTTCTCCTACTGTAAGGACTCTGTTGCTCAATTCGTTTCATCAATAGCCTTCCTGTTCCTCTTAGAAAAGGTCAGTTGAGTAGGCTATACTAATTTTGGATGTTTTTCCCCTTTTACATGTAAACTGCAGTTTTTAGCAAACTGTAACTCCTCATTATACTCTGGCATAGGTTATATATAGTTCACTTTATTTATTTGGAGGTTGTATGGGAAAATTTTAAAATTAGAGGCCAGTTATTATACTATCCAATATTTTCTTAAAAATAGGATAGTTCCAGGGCGCCTGGGTCGCTCAGTCAAAGCGTCCAACTCTTGATTTTGGGTCAGGTCAAGATCTCAGGGTCGTAGGATTGAGCCCCATGCTGGGCTCCGAGCTCAGCATGGGGTCTGCTTGTCCTCCACCCCCTGCTCCTCCGTTGCACACTCTCTCTCTTAAATAAATAAAAAATCTTCAAAAAAATGGGATAGTTCACCTCATTTGTTTTGTTTTGCAAAACTATTAGATTCACTATGGTAATCTTACAAACAGTAGTTTTATCTAATTCTTTATGTCATTGCTCTAACATTTGTTCGATTTTACTATCTTAAACAAAAACATTATAGATTCGGTCTAAATTTCTGAGGTAGAGATTACTGGTACTCATCATTATATCTACTTTCCCTTTTCTTGTACAGAAGAGACTGCATGTTCGGTATTTCTTTTAATTAGGTGGGATCATGTGGGTATTTCTGGTCATTAAAATGTGAGTGGAAGAAATGTGTTTTTCTAGGCTAAGACAAAAAATAAGTAAGTAGAGAGTTCTATTCTCTCTTCCCCTGACAGAACAATAATGATAAAACTTCACTTAGTGAAAGGAGAGCCATGACATGGGCGTGACTTGAATCATGGAGTTTCCACACAGGGGACAGCTTTTGTTGTGAAATACCTGAAATCACACAGAACTTAGAATGAGCAAGAAATGCACTTTTGCTTTGTATAGTCAGTGAAGTTTTTTGTTGTTGTTGTTGTTCTTACAGCATATGTCTAGCTTATTTTGACATAGATGGATAATTTAGAGGTTGAAACAACCTCCTCAGAGCAAAAATAGATTTCCAAGTTTCCATGTTTCCATATTTAGGTGGAAAAGATAATTTTCCACCTAACTCAAAAAATCATTAAACTGGTGAAGTTCTTTAGTGGAAAAAGTTAAAGGAAAGTCCCCATACATAATGCAATTAGGAAACTGAAAGCTTCTTGTATCCTATGGAAAGTTATATTTTTCTATACATAAACTGTCAAATAAAATGACATTCTATTTAAAGTAGAAATCTGCTACTTTAATGAACAACCCACATATTTACATATCAAGTTTGCTGAAAGAAGACATATTAAAAATTGGACATTTGTAAACAATATTAAGACCTTTGCAGACCTTCAAATTTGTGAAAATCTAAAATATATAAATCCCTTCATGAAACATTATATTATTTTAATGATCATTTAATTTTTAAAACAGCAAAGTATGAATAATATTAATTTGATTTCAATCGATTTAACTTGGCATTCAGTTGTTTTTTCTAGTAAAATAAACTATTTAATTATCATTATTGTAGTCATATTAATTATGAATTTCAACTGAACTGGCAAAGCTAAAACAGTAATGGTAAGTGATTGTGATTGCTGCTGTATCTTACGTGCATGTGTTCACCACAAATAGCATGAATGTATATTTAGAAACAGATTTTCTTCCCTTACTGAATGGTGCAATTCTAACTGAAATTTATTTTGCCTATGGCTCATCACTTTGTATTTTCTGCCTTGGTAGGGAATACTTTCTCAGTTTTGTATTCAACTGATGCCTACTTTCCTATTTCACATTATGCAAATTAATATGCTTCCGAAAATTCTTGAACCAATCTTTGCTTATAAAATTGGTTGCTTCAAATGCTGTGCTGGGACCTTCAGCACCTGTGGTTACATGGAAACTTTTTTTTTTTTTTTTACAGGCTTCTTCTTCCCAAATTATATTTGCATCTAGAATTACATGTTTCCAGTGCACATCTTCATACTACACATTAATTATCTTCTTAACTGTCATAAGTTATTATCTTTTAAGCTATGAACAACTCTGTATAGGCTGGAACATTTTATAAAATAATTTATATCTATTTCTAGACAGAGTTATCTGAAATAACTACATAGAGTTATCTGAGTCACAACCAGATTTATCAAAACCTATATTCTATATTTTATATATCTATATACCTATGTTCCAGTTAAGGAGCTTTGCTTTTATAGTTTAATTTTCATATCTTGCAAGAAGGATTATCCTGCTTTTCTAGGTGATTTTCAAAAGCGCATGTTCTTATTTGTTATTTTTTTACTTTTAACCCAGGGTACTAGATATGGAATGCATAGTTGAAATGAGCAAAGCTCAACTTAAACATAGATGCTGTTCAGTTTTACTCATTAGTTAAGTGAAACAATCCTATAATAGAAACTCTACAAAAATTACAAATAAATATCACATCATAAACACACATGAGCTCATCATAGAATTCTTTGGTCTCTGCTCAATACTGAAACACTTGCTTTTAATTTCCCTGAATACTAAGAATGTACTGTATTTAATGTATTTTTATAATACTAGTTGGATAGACTTCAAATTACTCTCATACCTCCAGCAGGGAGGGAGAAGCAGGTCGGCACTCATTTCTGTTCCTTAACTCCAGGTCACACCAATACAAGCTGGTGTCTTTTACCTATTTTGCATATTTGTTATACATAAAGAAAAGGAAACACAATAATTACTTAAAGATGAAACCATTTTACTGAAACAGCAAAGGTGCTACCAATTTTTAATTCATTTGGAATCTATATTAGTAAATACTGATTTAAAAAGTGAACTACTATTCTACCCCAAAATTTGATCACTAAATGATCAAATGCCAAAGAGCTAATATAGAATATATTTGAAACTGTTCTTTTGTGGTCAAATGTTTTCAAACACATTTAATTAGACTATTTTTCTCTGTCTCATATAAGTAAATAATATCCAAAGAAGCGAATCAAACCCTCCTGATGAGGCTTCTAATTTTTTTTTTCTTGCGCAGGGCAGTCAGTGAGCTAAGCACCCTACAATCTGAAATTCTTCTTCAGAATATAATATGCTAACAGTCCCATTTGCCACTTACTATAATCAGAACATTTGTAAAAGTCTGTAAATATATCAATGAATGTGTTCCTGAGTATTTCTGTCATTCCCATAACTTGTCCCTGAGATTTGAGTGTCAATTTTTTAGCAATATATTATTCAATCATACAGGTTTGTTTCTTGCCAAAGCCACAAAACTCATATCACGATTATCTCAGAACCTTTATAAATATTTAGATGTTTGCCTGATTTCTTATGTTGTTTTTTTTTTTTTATACAGCGTTTGGGAGTTGTTTTGCAATATTTTATAAGTGCCCTCAACAGATTAGTCTAAGTACCAACGTTTGAGAAACTGCTCCAAACAAAATTCTAACCATTTCAATACCATACCAGGATTCAGAAGAAACAGAATCAGTACAACTAGGCATTTGAAGTTTTGTCTTCAAGGGTCTATCTTAGATCCCCTTTTTCCCTTTTTTCCACAGGCCACCTGCTTTGGAGTTTGAGAGTTTGGCAGTTTGATCTTCCCATACTCAGGTAAGAGGCTTGGGTAGAGCCCAGAATCTTCATATATAACAGCTTCCCTAAGTGAATCTTTATGACTGAAGTCTTTCAATAATGGGTAGAGGATAATTTTCATTTATTATTAAGTGAATAGTTTGACTTCTTATTATTCCTAGTATCTCCCTCAATTTCTCAAGGCAGATGATTTTCATTATCCTCTATCACACCTCACACTTGACTATGTTCCCCACCCAATAATAAGATGGAAGACATGCCACAAAACTAATTCTGGAGACTGTCAAAGGCTACATAAATTAAAAGGGTGAATCCTTTCTCGGATTTACAAGTGCTCTTTCTCCCAGTAAAGAAACGAAAAGAGGAAGGAAAAGAGAAGGGAAATAAACACACACTTTCATATACCATCTCCTTCACATATTTAATCCTCTGCATAACCCACTCTTTATTAACCATGATTTGCATTTGAGAAAACAGAGTCCCCAAGAGTATAAATAACTTGACTAGGTTCATGAAGCCAATAAATGGCAGAAGTGGGATACTAATTGAGATCTTTCTGATGCCAAGTCCCATGAACTATTTTACACTATGCTACTAAAGAAAGTATGGTAATAATAGTGAAAGAAGGGAAACTTCTTATGTAATGCTAGAATGGATTTATTATTTGATCATTTTCTTGGTAAGACTTGTGCTGCAAATATCTGGAATTTTGTTTAATACCACATTAAAATCTGCAGCTGTTTTATTTTTAAAATATATCTCCACTTTTAGATACCATGTCCTTAAAAATTATTTTATCACTGAGGTATAGTCCCAATTACTTAGAATATTGAAGTAAGAATTTTAGTATTTTAGGAAAATACAAGGTTAGTTATATATCAGGAAAATTTTGAAAGATGAATTTGAGGGAAAGAGTGAAACACAATCTGTGAAGGATGTTCCTAGAACATTTGTGAAATAATAAGAAAACCTACTATATTTTTTTAAAATTTTATTTACTTATTATTATTATTTTTAGAGAGAGAAAGAGAGAGAGAGGGTGGAGGGGCAGAGGGAGAGAGAGAATCTTAGGCAGGCTCCATGCCCAGCATGGAGCCCGATGTAGGGCTCAATCTCACAAGTGTGAGATCATAACTGATCTGAAATCAGGAGTCAGATGCTTAACCAATTGAGCCACCCAGTTGCCCCAAAATACCTACTAACTTTAATCACAAGTATGTAAGGTCCCTCTCATACTCATTTTCCATCAGATAGGCATATTGAGTGTAACATAATTCAAATTTACCAAATTATACGATGTTTATGATACAAACGACTTGATATAAAACTTGGATTGCCCTGATAAAGTATGTCTTGATTTTATGTCTAATACTAAAGTTCAACCAGAACCTAGTAGTGAGGGGTCTGTTTGAGAGCATTATTTAAACCATCTATAAAGACACGTTTAGAGGGTTTAAAATTTATTTTTATTTTTGTATTCTTTAAGGTAATGTTTCTATATCAGAAATATTGACATTGTGTAAGTCTGCTCAGACCAATACCTTTCATTTATTTGTAATCCACGTTGGATGAATGTACTTATGTGGTCTTATGGCAGCAATCAGACTTTGAAACCCATAAATCATTTGCCTCATTTTTCCTGTCCTGAATCACTTAAAGCTTTCTTATTCTCATTTATTTTCATTTTTATCCTTTATTCTATTTTCCTTATCTCATTTTGCTTTTCATATTTCTGTCGATTTTCTTAAAGAAATATGTTTAAATGGAGGGATGCTACATTGACAACAAATGGGAATTTCTATCAGCAGACACAAAATGTACTCTAGCCCTTGTCAGTTCTCATCATGTTGACACTGTCAAGTACGATGCAGTTACAATAGTTGAGTTTAGAGTACTTCAGTTATAAATCCTGACAGTGGTATGAACATTGGTTTGTGGAAGACATCTGTAAATAGAAGCCTCTGGGCATATAAAGGGGAAATCTTTAAAAATTTAAGTTAATGCTAACTTTAATGAAAGAAAATTCCTGGTAAACACCCTTTAACCGTATAAATCCAATTTAGATTAAATGTGAAGTCTTAAAATATTTTCATTTTAGATTAAGTTTTCTGGACCCTTTGTGTTTATTGATGTGTCTATGCCTTGTTTCCAAACTGACTACATTATATCTGGTCATTGTAATCATCTTTATACCACATAGTCAAATACTATGCTTAGTAAGCACCCAAAAGAGAGAATCATATAGTATGTGAGAATTTAATGGATATTGTTTTGCACTGAAAGGATTGTTTTAAAAAGATTATTTTATGTTAATGTTTAGCTCTTTATATACAATTTAAAGTATCATCATTTTAAATTAACCATTGAACATAAACATAATGTAAGGAAGTATGATTTATTTACTTTTTTAAAAACTGGAGTAGTTATTTACTTTTAGAGAAAGAAGAGGTCTTGGGCTCTATTTCAGATTATATTGCTCTCTAGTAGGGATTTTGGGTAAGCCACCACATCTTGTTTTCTTCTAATTTATACAGCAATAAAATGAAGTATATAAAATCGTTCTTTAGAAAGGGTCTATGATTTAGGTTACAGGCAGTTAAAAAAATAAAACATTTATACAGTGTGAATAATTCTCCCTGGATAGGTAATTTTGTTCAGCTATCTTTTCTTTTGCTATTTCATTTCAACATTTTGTTCACATAATCTGGCACTATTTCTGCTTTTTCATCTAAAGCATATCCATTATGAACATATATTTGGTATAAATAGTGTGAGAAAAAGTGTAACAGAAGGAAATGCACTTAAGAGCCCAAATCCGCTATACCTTTTTTTTTTCCTCCAGCACCTAGAATATGAGCATTGGCTTTTGTGTGAAATAAAAATGGGCAAAATATATTTTGGGTAATATATTGTGTAACTTTTGATTATTATCTCATATTACAAATGTCTAATATACATGTTCTCTCTGCTTTTGCTTATTTTTTTAATTTTGTTTTATTTTATTATGTTATGTTAGTCACCATACAGTACATCCTTAGTGCTTTTGCTTGTAATACCCAGTAGATCTGTGCTCCTTTTGGAGGCTCTAGGGATGAATGAAATCCCAAGCTCATTGCATTGGCAAGATTCATTTTCTTGTGGGATTGTAGGATTAAGGAAAGTATTTCCTTGCTAATGATCAAGGAAAGCGTGGTCTTTGCTCCTAGAAGCTGCCCATTCCTTTTCATGTTTCTATGTTATCTCTCTCTTCTTCCCACAATAACAGGGAGAGTCTCTCTCATGCTTCATATATCTCCTCTTAAATTGCATCCTTCTGATGGATTCCCAAAATAAAGAGAAGCCATTGCCTTATTAAATTTTTCTCACCAATATTTAGTAATTTTCAGCGTACAGTATTTGCACCTATTTTATTATATATATATATGTATGCATTTCTTATTTAAGATAACCATTTTCCCACAACAAATTTATAAATTCAAACACTCTTGTTTTAAATCACCAGGTTTGTGGTGACTTTTCATAGATGTCTCAGATAATTAATACACCATGGTTCAGAAATTCTAGAGGAAGCAAAACTAATCCATAGTCACAGTAGCAGATATTGGTCTGAATCAGGGATTATGGAAGGGTTGCCTAAATGACATATAGGGACTTTGGGGGAAGATAGAAAATGTTATATATATCTTGGCTGTGGTCATGATAACATGAATAAATATATATACATATATATAAAATATATATGTCATAACTATAGAACTATACAATTAAAATAATGTTGATCACACTTTAATAAGTGGAAAATATGTTTCCTGAGTTCATTACTCACTTATTCTTATAGGCAAATCATCACACTGACTACAGGCATTGTGGATAGGACAAAATGGACAGATGAAAACAAGGTATATATTTTCAATTTGGTCAAGTCCAATAAGGATACCATGGTCTCACTCTATTTATGCCTGGATTTATTCTATATCTCAAAGAGGTGCACAACGTCAGAAGCAGTGAGATAGCAGCCCTTAGTCTCAGATGTGTTCTTTGTCGGTTCCTTAGTGGGTATCTACCTTTATTTTACCTTATCATTGTTGAAATATGATTACAAATAACCCCAGCTTCTGCACATATGAATAGTCAGATAGAATAATGAAATAATTTTCTTAGTTTTGAGTAACAGAAGATGGTCAGTAGTCCATGACAGTGAAGCAGTAACCATGGTCAGCCTGTGCCGTTTTTAATAATATCTCTGAGCATAGCTGAGGAATAAACTTACTACTCCAATAATTTTGCAAGAGAGTGAACAATTGATTCTATTAGTAATTTGAGGAATAGTTATTACCTCATGAGTGGGCAAAATGTCAGGATATTTGCTTATCTCTAAATCAGGGGTGACACATGGGAAAGTACTCTTACACTGAATTGTGGAGGATATAAAAATAGCACAAAGACATAGAAATTGTTTGGGAAAAGTTGTCAGCATGAAGGGGAGGTTAGAGCAGGCAACAAGGAAATATTAATTAGCAAACAGGCCTCTTACTTTAAGCTTCTCTCCCTACTACCTACCTCTCCCTACTACCTCTCCCCTTACCTATCTTGATTCTGTTACTTTCGTTTGACTCCAAAATTATGTTTTGGCATGACTAGGAAAATTTTACAGATACACATAATTTTATAAGTCAAAGCAACCATGTCATTGACCAGAACTATCAGAGATAAGGAAGCCCCATATTTTAACTTACAGAATTTGAAAACTGCCTTCATGGTATAATTTTTTGCAAATGATAACACAAAAATCTTTGTCCTAAACCTTAGATCTAGAGCTTAGAATTGGACATAGGCATTTTAACTTATTGGTCCTAATATACGTTTTCTTTTTATTTTACAATGTACATATATAATAGTTAACAAAAAAGGCACAGGATCGGATGTAGAGTGTGTGAGAGAAGCTGACCAACTGGCTTCCAGCTTTATTTTAGTAAATGATGTATGGTATCAAATATCATTTCCCGGAGTAAATGATGTATGGTAAAAACATACAAGTGACTAGATCCTAGCTTAGTGAAGAGGCTGAGGCAGATGGATTCTAACAAAGGGAACAGCATATTCAGATGTCAAGTGAAAGTATATAAAGAGTATAGTACTTTTAAAGAAGAAAAAAAATTCAATATTACTGAAGAGAACTTAGGATGAAGAGTTCTTGAAAGATACAAGAAGAGCAAGCAAAGAAACCAAGGGAAGGATTATGATTTGACTTATCCCAAGAACAATGGAGGGTTCATGGGTTTTTAACAAGGGAGTGAAATGTTGAAAAGGTCATCCGGTGCTGGAGAAATTGAGGATTTTCCAAATTTAGGACTCAGGGTAGTATCTACTTCACACCTAGCATTATTGAGTACAGGAAGTGGCAGTGCTAGATTGAGGGAGATCAAAGCTCCCATGACTGTCAGAGGTGATGTGTACAAGTTTGAGGCCAAATTCCCGAAGGACTAGGCTAAAGTCTATAAGGTCAGAGAATTGGGCTGTTAAAACTCTGAATGCTGGAAACAAAACATTCATTACTCTTTTTTTCTAATAATAAAAATATTTTCTTTCAGAAAGAGGCACTCACTCACTTGACATGGAATTTAGCTCTCACACCTTCACAGATGAGCCTGCAACCTAAAGTAGCCAGAGTATCCATAATAATTAGCGCACAGGTAGACATGAATTAAGCAGACACACAGTTATTTGGGGGCAGTTAAGATGGATACTGAGGGAGGAGGTTAGCTTTTATTATTCCTTAATTGTCAGCTAAAGTAGCATTGTAAATCTACAAGTTTTAGTAGCGATTTCTATCATAATATAAATTAACTGATTTTATTTAAGCTAGTTGGAGTTTTAATGCTGTCCTTTGCAACTGCAAATATCTTAACATGTGTATTAATGGAAAAAAATATTTACTTGGTATCAGAATATAATACCACTTAATGGATTATAAATATCCCTATAAGTTCATATATATACATATAACTATATGTATATATGGTATTACAGGATGAGTTATAATTTACAATAGGAAAATCATAATCAGAGTATATTAATTAGAGACAAAATATTAAGATCACATAGCTAATATATATTGAGTATGTGTCATATGCTGAAATGTAGAGATGAGATGAACTAACACATTTTAACAATTTAAGGCCATGTCCTAATGGTGTATACAAATATTTAAAGCACGTGCAAAATCCATGAAATGTATCGTGTGCTTAAGAGCTTTCAGCCCAGCCTTTGTATTGATGTCCAGTTTTAACATTAGATCAAAAATGTTTTGTCCTGAAGCAGAACAATCTTTCAAATGTTATTTGCATTCCATGTAAGATTAGTGCAAAAGACTTAGGCTCTTCTGAGTCTTTTGTAAAGATTGCTTTGGAGGCCAAAGTGCACGTTGCTATATTCCAGGTGACATATCTTGTTCTCACTCATGGATTTGTAATGATGCAAAACTGAATATACCTGGACAGTTCCTTAATTACTTGGTCAGAAGAAACACACTGGAAAATGTATGTTACAATATCAACATTATCTAATGTTTTGTATTTCCCAAAAGAGTAAAATAAGGAACATCATCCTCAATACACTGAATAACATCTAACATGGTATTCTACCTGCATAATTCATTAAAAGTAATAAAAACTATATGGGTGTTAATAAATGTATTGAATCAATGATGACGGCAATCCATAAAAATATTTACCACTTTCACTCAAGGCTGTATGGAGCCACTGACAGTTATACAGATAGGAAGCACAAAAGCAATTTAAATATACTTTTAAATTGTAGGTAAACTAATTATATCTATTGGTAATTACTAGTAAGATTATTGCACAGAAAAATAACATTGTTTGAAATTCAGTATTTTTGTTTTGTTTTGAAGCCTCCATGGAATTCATGTAATGGTTATGAGTATATCATACACCTATGATTCAGATAAATGGAGTTCAATTAATGACAAATCAATAGGGAAACCCAAAATGCCTTGTTTCTTTGTTTAGAACTTCAGTGTTACAGGGACCCAGATCACATCAAGCATATAAATTTGCTAACTCCCTGTGTTGGCTAATAGGCATATAGACCTTGGTCTCCACTGTAGACCCTGCAGTGGTCCATGAATTGGCTCCAGTGCCTCTCCACATGGTCTGGGAGCCCCTGGAGAACACAGGATTAGACAATCAGTCATGGATGAGAGAGCCTTGGTGGAAGTCCAGTAGTCCAGTAGAGTAGTTCCAGCACACTGTTGGAAGAAAAAAAAAGCGAGTTTGGATGCATTAGAGAGAATGAGAGGAATAGTTTGACTTTACCTATGTAACACCTACCTCAAGGCGGCACAGATTATTGCCAAAAAGCCTACTTTGGCCCATGATTTCTCACTGGGAGGAAGTGACTGCATGTGACTGAGCATCCAGATTCCTCAGCTGTGCAGGCTGCTATCAAAGAGGCCACTCTCTCTCTCTCTCACCCATATAGAGTACTGCATTGTGAGCTGCATGACTGGGGGGATGGAAGATGCTGGGAGAGTAGCTGATAGGAGTCTCAGAAGGCATTAAAGGAATGTGGTTATGGATCCTGCTAACTGCATTGTGGATTCCATCAGGAGGCCTGTCCATGAGCTGCTGGGGCTGCCTCACCTGTGGATCTCCCAAACGGGCCATGGACACCCCTAACGCTCTGTTCACCTCACCCAAAACATCCCAGACCGTGTGGCCAGTTCACTGTGCACACTCTACTGCCTGTGTAAAGAATGAACTTTGGTAGATGGCTAGTGAGCCTGTGTAGAAAATCAGTCTGAATCTGCAAGCCAGGAAGAGACCATGAATCTGAGCTTTAGCGTCACCGCTGGGAAAGCAAATGGGAGGCTGTGAGCACCTGCTGGTGTGCTGCGGGATTAAGAGAAGGCACATAAGCTTACAAATTCTGCCACAAAAGGAAGTGTAAAGCAGTTATATCCATTGAAGATTGGAAAAAGCCTCAGAATCCCTGACAGGGCAGACATAAGGTATTTCTCTACTGAGGTCAGTCATTAAAGACTGGAGGGAGTGACTGGTACTTCAAGTGCGGGGGTGGCGGAGGGCAGAGAGGGCGCCTGGCTAGAGGACGGGGACCTCCTGGCACCTGGTCCCCACCCTGCATCCTACTGGACCAGCCCGCCTCCCCCAGTGGAGAAGGCGCAGAGTAGGTCAGCCCCTCAGCCCCTCATAGAGCGAGCCCCAGCTCCAGCAGAGGGGAGGGAGCCCCATCAGGAACGAGCCTCAGGGAGCAGCAAGCTGGCATCAGACAAAGGGGCCAGCGGGGCCAAAGTTGCTAGGACCTGGAGGCACCCACCCCCCCTCCGCCGCGGAGAAAGCACAGGTGTCACTGCACCTACTGGGAGAAGTTAACTGAAAATCCTCTCATCTCAAGGCTCACCTGAAAACTCACAGGTGAGAGGCCTTTCGTTAGCAGCTGGCGGGACTGCAACAAGTTCCCACGTGCTCAGTGGCCGGGTAGAAGGCATGCGCACGCGCATGCGCACACATTCAGCTGCCCTGCCTTTGAAAAGAGCTTCGGGACCTCAACCGCCTGAGGAAATGTGCGCGGTGCCCGCTCTCTGCCACTTCCACACGCTGCATCAGGGTCGCGGGGGCCCATGGACAGTACCTCAGCCCCTGGCCGCCTCTCAGGAGCCCCACGGCCTCTGCCCCGCGTCCTGTGGGCCTTAGGCGTGAGGAACCTCGGCCTGAGGACCCTCCTTCCTTACTACAGTCTTGAGCAGATGGTCTCGCTTCCTTTCGTGATTCCATGTCTCTCCCTTTTGTAATGAGAAAGAAGAGAGAACTTTATAAAGTCAACAACAGCCACATTTCCTTCACCTTAGGTATCAAAGTAAATATGGACCAAAAAATGTCAGAAAAACACCATCCAGAAATTGCACGATAGACATACCCATGAAGGTGAGTTTCAGTTCTGCTTTCTGGGCAGATTGTTGAACAGCGGACTCTGCGTCTCCCTCTTCTTGCCCACCAGTGCAGCCTGCAGCCTCTGCGCCAGCCGGCCTGGCCGTCTGAGAATGCCCAGATTCTGAGATGAATGCCTTAAGCCATAACATGCAAAAGGAGGTCTCCTCCCGAGGGGGCCACAGAGGCGTCTGACCTTCTGGGGGACACTGCTCGTCTCTCTCTCCCTGCCTCGAGGAAAGAGACTCTAGGAGAACTGGAAGCTGAGCTCAAGCGTTGGTTGGGCATACCATCGCGCCATTTGATGTCCAACGCGACAGGCCCCCGCTACACCTGCCTAGACCTCTGCCTATCAGTGGTAAGTGCCCCTCACAGAGATGCCTGCTACTCAGTGTCCTTGAAGAAGGCACATGGGGACCTTTCACTATTATAGCAGTGGTATAATACCACGTGGGTGTTCCCTCAAGATCACCATTCACCCTCACATGAGCATCAAGTCTGAACCTGTATCCCCAATCCACGAACACAGCCCTGTACCTCTCCCACCAGGGTTTTCTCTGCCACCCCCACCTCCTTTTTTTGTCCTAGAAATTTGCTTATCACTTGAGATACCTGGAGACATTTTGTGATGTCACAAAGGAAGGGAAGGAGTACTTCCCTAGAGATCAGTTTGCACAATGCTGAAGAAAGGACCAGTTTTCAATAATACCTGTATTTAGCCAGGGTAGAGTGGCATCCCTCCCTCCCACTATGAACTCAGTTCTAGGCAGCTCCAGGGAAGATGATCAAAGCAAGAAGGAGCAGCATCTCAAAGAATGGGGAGTTGGCTTGATCACTTGTTATCAAAGTTACTTCTCAGGGGAATAGAAACAAAGGGACTGGAAGGAGGGATTTACCTTAATACCTACCCATGTTGTCTCAGTTACTGTTACATTTCCTACAGGTCCTCAGGAGGTAGCCACTGGTTGGGAAGGTGGGCAGGAAATAGAGTTTGGGAAGCCATGAATTCTTGCCAAAGCTGAGGAGCATGGGTTGTATGGGTGTGGTCATTTAAGTCCTTGAAAAGGAGCCCAAGAACCTGAAATAGGTTGTCTGAGGCCCAGAAAGTGGTGAGGAGGATCTCTCCACCGGGAGCATAGGACCAATACTGTCAGGATGTCTTTTGTCCTCAGTGGATACTTAGCATTTTTCTAGTCCCAGAAAGTTCTTAAGAGTTGCTCACTATCCACATATCTTAGGAGTTGCTCACTATCCACATAGAAAGAGATTGATATTATGCAGTAAGACAGACAGAAAAAATTACTTTCTTTCCAGGCATTGGCCACCTTCCCTTCTGGGAGTGGCCGACAGGGAGGAGCTTGAGGTCCAACTTGGGGATGGAGGTTAAAATCAAGAGGAGGCTATGCAGTGACCTTATTAGGCCCACACAGCTCAGATGAGAGCATCTTTCTCATGCCAACTTATCTCCATGAATAAATAACATTAATTAAATAAAGGGGCCTAAAAAGAGCAGCCAGAATTGTAGTCTCCAGATCAGATTCTTACCCTCTCAGAGATATGCACACATGAGCATACACACACACACACACACACACACACACACACACACACAGACACACACACACACACACACACACACTGAAGCGGTGATGAAATAATCCAGGATTGGCTTTCCCATCCCAGGAAACTGTGGGATGGGCAGCCTGACTGAAGGTTGCCACCCATGGTCTAGCAAGGCATGCGTGGTGGAGAATGGTGGTTAGTGAGGACTTTGAGGCTGCTGGTGGTGGTGTTCAGAACTCTGGCACCAGGATCTGGACTTTTAGATTTTAGATATGGAAGGTTTTTACAGAAAGGTGTCCAAATGCGTGAAACTCTCCATGTGTAGTACATGGAGGTCTTGTTTTACTGCTCCTCCTCACAGCCTGGCAAAGCCTGTTCACAATCATGCTCTTCTTTTTAGGGGAGATGAAGTTCTCTAAGGTACTTGAGCTTCAGTTCGTGGATGTGCTCATTCTGTGCCTCCTCCAGATCCTGCCACGTGCAGATGTACTTACTCATCATCCTGGTCCTGGATCTCTGCCTTCACCTGCAGCTTGGCATAGAGCTTCTGCTTTCTTGGTTATGATTTCCACCATCTGCTGCAGGGATGGAACATGGAGGTGTCCTAGTGCTTCTTGGTCTCCTCATTTCAGATTATCATCTCCTGCTGCATTTCCTGCTCATGGCATTTCTACTCAACAGTCTCCTGAGTCTTCAGTTCCAACAGCAGTTTTCTGTAGCTTTTTGGTGTGATCCATGATGTTCTTGTCCTTGATGAGCAGCTTGCTCTCCATGGCTTTGTACTTGGCTCTGAGCAGCTCTGTAGCCTGCTGTTTCTGTTGCAGATCTTCCAGGATATTCTCCTCTGCCAGCGGATTTTACTTCTCATTCACCCAGATGCAGACAACCTGGATGGCCACCTTCTCCCCCTCCAGCCACTCCTTCTGTTCCTGCAGGTAATTTTCCATGTTCTTATCCAAGGCTGACTCCAGGATAGACTGGGGTGGGTGGTGGTTGTTGTTGTCATCCTTCTCTTTGGTCACCCAGGTTTCAATCACTGGCCATTCATGGTACTCTGCCAGGCTGACACAGCCTTCTTTTTGCTGCTGCTCTTCTTCCAGAGTCACTTTGCCAACGACCCCTTTTTTCTCCAGCTGGGTCTTCAGGTGAACAGTCTCCTCCTGGAATTCCTGCATCAGTGTGTCCTTGGAGTACTCATTTACTTGGGGATTTTTCTTGACATTCTTGGCTTGATTGGTAAAGTGCAGGACAGAAAGGCTCTTAAAGTAGCTATAAGACCACACCCAGTGTGGCCACTATGATGGGCTTGGCATTCCTTTCCAAAAAGTCTGGAGTAGCCAAGTGAGCTTGGAGTTCTGGTATGGGATGTGGGTACTCCTGTCGCTCACCAGTGGTTATGTTGCCAAGGCAGACAGTGAGAGGTTGATTTTGGAGACTTCTCTAGGCTTCTCTCTGCCACTACCGCTACCTCCACTACTACCACTACCTGTGGACTGTGTGGCTGTCCTTCTAGCCATATCGGGGCCTGCTTTGTTCTGCATCTCACTGCCAGCCAGGTCTCCCCGGTTGATATTGTCCAAATGGATGTGTTCCTGACCATCAAAGCCATGCACATTCCATGGTGATGATGAAGATGGCATTAGGTGGGAACTGACCTCATTCATATGTGTGCTACCCACCACCTGGGTCTGGTTCCCTGGATTTGTGGCATGCTAAATCTCCTTGATATTCTT